TCTTTGAATATATTATTTTTATTTTGTTATTGAAATTTATTTCTTATTTCACTACGTCACAATAAGTAGCCCTCGCTTCAATAGCCGAAGAGACGCGGGTCAGGTACCTCATTCTGCAGCGGTGGCATCGCTGAACGTCCGCAAATTTTATTCATGGAATTTCTACATCGTATCAGCTTGTGCTGTTACCTGATAGCACATACCTGATTCTGTAATAGACTCGAATCTATTACTTTGAACTATCCAAAATTAGCTAAAATTAAATTATTCTGAAACATTAGTATTCCCACAACATTCAAGAATTCACCTCTAGGATTGAAAATATTTTCATGTACTTACGATAGAGAATTTTTATATTTTATGATATTGCTGATTGCATATACCCATTTTTGTGGAGTCCTTAACTTTGAACGAACAAATACTAACAAAATTCTAATTGTTCTAAAACAGTAGGATACACACAACTATCAAGAATTCATCTTTAGAATTGAAAATGATTTTACTTATGAACAATAGAGTATTTGTATCAGTGGTGGCATATAAGTATGTCAGTGGACTTTGACCGAATAAAAAGTAACAATTTTGTTGTTGTTCTCAAACAGTAAAATACAAACATTTTAAAAATAGCTCCTAGGGTTGAAAAGATTTTCATATGTGATTGATAGAAAATGTTTATCTCTTATTATTATTTTGATGTCATATAACGTTACTTTAAAGTCTTTTGGGTCTTTGATGATATTTCTGATGGTAAAAAATTTTTTTGAGCGCGAACAATAGAGAATCTTTGTTGTTTCACTTTAAACAAATAAATAGTAACAATTTCGAAAACAGTAGTATACAAACAGAGTTTAAGGATTCGCCATTTAATGGAAAATATTTTTACGTTTGAACGATAGAATATTAAATGTTTTATGATATTTTCAAAGGCAAATAACTTCTGTGTTCTTCATGTTTAACACTAACAATATTCTAACTATTCTAAAGCAGCAGTGTATACACAACCTTTAAGAACTTTCCTCTAGTTTAGAAAATATTTTCTTGTGTAAACAATTGATAGAATTTATTATTATAAATTTCTGATGGCATGTACCTGTTTTTGTCAAGTCGTTCCTTTGAATTAATGGAAACTAACAAATGTCTATTTGTAGTAAAACCATAGTATTCACACAATTATAATGAATTCACCTGTACGATTAAAAAATGTTTTCACGTGTGAATGATAGAAAATTTTTATGCTTTATGATACTTTTAATAGCATATAACTATTCCTGTGGGGTGTTTATTTTAAACGAATAAACAATAAAAAATTTCTAACTGATCTTTGTCAGTAGTTGTGGAGTAATTTAATTTTACCATATAGAGACATACAAAATTCTAATTTTTCTGTAATTGTAGTTTACACACAAAATTTAAGAATTCGCTTCTGGAATTGAAAATATTTTCATGTGTGAACAAAAGATAGATTTTATCCTTCATGATAAGTCTGATGGCATATAATTATTGTGCTAATTCTTCTACTCTGAATGAATAAAATCAAACAGATTCTAATTATTGGAAAAGTAGTTTACACACAACATTGAAAAAATAGCCCCTAGGGTATACAACATTTTTACGTGTACTGTGAACGATAGAGAATTGAATCTAATCTGATGTATGGAAAGGGAAATACGTATTTCTGTTCTCTTCAACTTTAAACAAATAAAACTAAAAAAATCTAAACATTCGGAATCAGTAATACACACACATTTAAGATTTCTCTGTTGGTGTAGAAAATCCATCTCTTTAGTAGAGCCAAGAATTCGTCTCAACAAAGGTGTATTTTCACGTTTAAATGATAGAGAAAAAGATATTAGATATCGAATTGTGTAGAGAAAAAAGTACAAACTCCGTAAATGGTGTATTTTGCTGTTTTAGAATCGAAAAACGCGTTTTATGGGACATCCGATGGCATATACATGTTTTTGTTTAGTGTCCTACTTTCTACGCAGACTAACTATAAATTTCTACTGATTTTTTCTTAAAAAAGTAAATTACACACCAGCATCAAGTATTCGTTTATGAGTAAGAACATTTTCTCATGTTAACGATAAAACATTACAAGATAAACAGATGGAATTTCTTGAAAAAAATTTGTCCAAACTTCCGGTTATGGTGCTTTTTGCTATTTAATAATCTTGAAACTTGTTTTATGATATATTTGATAGAAAATAGTTTCGTCAAGTGGTTTGTTTTCAACAAGTACTAAAAACAAAATTGTATTTTTTCTTAAACAGTTCATCACACAATTTTCAGTATTTGCTCTAGGTTTGAAAATAGGTGTGAACGACGGAAAAAAATCTTTAATGTTTTTTTTGTTGGCATTTAACTGTTTCATTAGTCTTTGACTTTGAATAATAGAAAATGACAAAATTCTAATGGTTCTAAAACAGTAGTGTAAACACAACATTCAAGAATTCATTATAGGATTAAAAATATTTTCACATGTAAACAATGGAGAATTCTTATTTTTCTGATAATTTCAAAGCAGATAACATTTTCTTTGGTGTAGAAAAAAATTCTGTTCTGAAACAGTATATACACAACATTTATAATTGCACCTATATGATTGAAAATGTACTTATGTGAGGAAGAGAGAGAATTTCTAGTATCTCTGATATTTCTGATGGTATATAAAACTTTTGTGGAGTCTTTTACTTTAACCAAATACAAACTAAATTTTATAATTCTAAATGTATATAATGGTTTCTGTAGAGTCATTTACTTTTAACTAATAACAAATAACAAAATTCTAATGGTTCTAAAACAGTAGCACATACGCAAATTTCAAGAATTCGCACCTCGATTTATTAAATGCTCTCACGTGTGAACGATAGTGGAAAAAATGTGACTCTACACTTCAGATATGAATAAATTCAATGATATTACACCAATTACGGAAATAAGTTGTACAAAATAAGTTGCTAACATTTCTTTTTAGCCGATAAAATCCGTTGCTATTATTAATTTATATAGTTTATAGTAATGCAGAATATTCTCAATATAGAAAAAATGTTTTAATATTTATAAATATTAGGGATTATACAATCAAACGTGAAGATTTTTCTCATTCTAAAAGGTTTTTTTTGATATAATTATTGACATTGATATTGGAGTAATTGATAAAATTATGGTAAATATAATGATGATGGTAAATATAATGAAGATTATTTATTTTGATAATCAATCCAATTAAGAAAGTAAAATATACTAAATACGTTAACGCTCTTTACAGTAAATTGAAATATATAAAAATAGTCATACAATATCTATGAAATGTTAACATCATGATGCTGCTTCAAATCCAAAATGATGAATAGATAAGAAATAAATATTATGTGTCCTATTAAGCATACTGAAAGGAATGTTGTACCAATAATAACATGAAGTCCATGGAATCCTGTAGCTATAAAAATTTATGATCCATAAAAATCTGCGATAGTAAATGGAGTTTCAATATATTCAAATGCCTGAAGAATAGTAAAATAAATTCCTAAAATAATTGTTAATAGTAGTCATTCTGCTGTTTGTCCATAATTATTTTCTATTAAAGTGTGATGGGCTTTTGAAACTGAAACACTTGTAAGATAGCTGTATTCAGAAGAAGAATTTGTATTGGATTAAATGCTTTAATTCCTACATGTGGTCAAGTTATTCGTAATTCAATATTGAAAGCCAAACTTCTGTTAAAAACGCCCAGAAAAATAAAATAATAGAAATACTTCTGATACAATAAAAATAAATCCTCAAAGTAGATCTAAATTAACTACAGATGTATGTACATCTTGAACATGTTGCTTCTTGTGTACAGTCGCGTTATCATTGAATTATGGTTAATAAAGTGATTAATGTTCCAGTTGAAATAATAATAAATTTATATTGAGAGAATATACTAATTAAACTTGCTGCTATTGTTGTGGCTTCTAAAGCACCTGTCATGGTCATGGACTGGCATTTACTAAATGAAGTGTATGATTTTGATGTGTTATTTCGTAACATTAATTTATGTCTTTTGTGTATAATGAATTTAATATGTCAAATACATGTGATTGAATACTTGAATTGCTGATTCAAGGACTAGCATTAGGATGTGTGATATGATAAGGATTTGAATTAAAATGGCTGAATTTAGAAGTATGGGTCCTGTGTTTCCCAATAGTGTTAATTGGAGATGACCTGCAATTATAGTTGCAGCTAATTGAACAGCTGGTGTTAATGAATGAATAATTCTGTATTATTAATACATCCATATAAAATGAATGTTATTCAAAATGCTAATGCCAAGGATAATTTGAATGTAAATTGACTTGATCTTGTAAAAATATATGGGAATAATCCTAAAAATGTATGAAATAAAATTATTTAAATAAGAGATGAATTTAAAAGAATTCCTATGTTTTTATTACCAAATAATAATGTTTTAAAATTCAGAATATACATAGTGAATTAATAAATTTCTTATTAATAATCTTCGATTAGGAATTAGTTAATTAGAGGCTGAGATGATTATAAATGCTAGAAGGTTTCTTTATTACTTTATAGAAATATTTATAATATTGGATAATATATCGAATGATGAAAAAAGATTGGTAATCATTTTCAGTTTGTAGACTGAGTTTCTAATTTTAATTGTTTATATAATAGATTTGGTTCAATCAAGTAATAATTACTCTTTATAATAATATTAACAATAATGTAGTAAAAATGAAGAATAATTTTAAATATATAATCATATTATTGAGGCTGGTTGAGAAATTAGAAATATTATTTTGGTAATAATTTTAATAAGATATTAATTTTATAATTAACTAACTTCTTTCATCAGAAGTAGTCGTTAATTACTATATGAGGGATCATTTCTAACTTTCAGTCATCTGATGATTACTCTTTATTAAATTGAGAAAGTTTTTTAATTAACTCTTGAAAATACAATTGGTAAAAATCTATTTTAATGTTCTCTTATGTTTCCTTGAGAAGAACTGAATGGGCAATCGGAAGTGACCAATATTTGTTCTCATTATATACGAGAACAGCTTTCATATTCACTATTAAGGAGTCTATCGGGAGCCTCCAATTACTTGTAATGTATTTTTCAGCTCCCAAAGAATTCCCTAAATCAGGAATATAATGCCAGTATGTGTGATTCTCTTCTTGACACAAGTATGGGAAAAATTGCTCCTCACGGTGACTTGTCCATGCAAATGATGCTCCTGAAGTTATGAGGTTTTGTTATAGTCTTAATTTATTGCAGTTCCCAGCATGCCACAGGCATGAAAGTAGCTTTTTCTGAAAATACTTTTGTAGTATATTCATAGCCAAGCCAAGATCTTTATTAAAATATGTAAGTAAAACCTGTCTCTTGAATTCAAATACTACTAACATGTTCTTTTTTGAAAATCTTTTTTGTGTTAACATATTTGCTTTGTTGATTAATTATCATAAATCATGTAATTATATTGTTTGATTTTTAATTTTATTTTCATTTTAAATTTGAAAAAGTACTTACAAAAATTCAAATCCAATGAGCAAAAACATTTGTCATAAAGCATCATTTTCATTATTGCTGAAAACTTCATATCAAGTCCCAGCATCCTCATATGAGAGCAGTCCCCCTCGTCTACCTTAATAATTAATTTGAATTAATATAGATACAATTAAAACATTAACACTCAATCGTGACTGCTCTTTCAATTTCATTATAATAACTCAAGTAAAAACAATTTTGGACTTAATGGGTTAAATAATGTGAGATGAGGTTCTTCGAAAACACAACAGTTTTTTTATGAAAATGATTTCGAATTTCCACATTTTCAAGAACACTCAAAAGGTATTTTTTCAAAAACTGCTTCACATTTTTCTTCAAACTTGTCGAACAGATTGTGCTAATTGTATTGTTTAATATGACAAAAAGTTAATTTTGCTGTATTTGTTTCTGTTGCAAACTTGCAGAACACTACTGGACAGTCTTAACGAGAAAAATAATATACTTAAGACATTTAGTTACTATTTCCAATATTTCTTACTCATGAAGTGGTTCAGATGTGCAAAACAATTATTGTTGGTGATATTTTTAGAGCATGGAGAAATGTGAAGTTCTATGCACAAGAGTGACAATCATGATAAATGGAACTCTCCAATGTTTGGGGCCAATCCAACATTTGAAGAACAATTTGCTGAAGGAAACATACTTATTATCAATGTAAAAAAGATTCAATTTGTCTCAGATAATCAGCAGTTAAAGATTTCATCAGCATCTTTTCTCCAGGTAACCCATGACTCATAAATATGATATAGTCACAAAATCTTGTGCCTATTATTAAAATAGTGTTATTAAATTCCTCAGGCACTTGACTTAAATATTAAGTACCAAGTTTTTAGAATGGTGACCCTTGGTAACTTCTTTACATTTTAAGTACTTCTCAGGATGTCAGAGAGTGTGTTACATTTGAAGTAATTATTCGAACTTCCCTGACAGTTTTAACTTTCCTTTACTATCACAAAACTATTAGAAAACATTTTTTACTCTTGAGAAGGTCTAAAAATGATTTTAATGCAAAAACACAAGATCGGGCAAGAACAGCCCTTCTCTTTGCAATATTATTAATTTTCCTGAGTCATATATATATATATATATATA